AGCGCTAAACCCATACGAATTCAAGTGGACACAAAACTCCATGATGGGCGGTGTTAATATCTCCCGTTCCTTTTCAACAGTCAATCCAAACGGCCACCCAAAGCAACTACTCTGACGGTAGCGACGTCGCTCGCCGCAGCATATCACGAGCGTATTGTCACAGACCCCTTTTTCGCCATTACATTCCCACGGCTCCACAATGCCTGTGCTGCGCAACCCAGCAACGATAAGGTCGATGGTCGATCGATAAGCTGATACGGCTCTCATGAAGGGTGTTGTTATTGTTTGTAAGAATAGGTACGTATCAACACCCCATCACAGCATCACGGTCGGTTGAATAGATCCACATTTTTTGTTGTACACAAAGAATGGTGACAGTACCATCAGCACAGAACATAATCAAGAGTGCGCGCATAAGGTGCTGATAACACGCACGTCAGCAATAATTGACGTACTACGCTCCCATATCAGCAGGCTTGAACCACGCCAGAAAGCCTCACGCACTTAGGCATTTTTTTGAGCGAGAATAATCGCCATTTTCGTATCACGGATGATTTGAAATCAAACCTTTGCGAGAAGCTTTGGCATTTTGTAGCGATAGAATGGGTCGGTCACAGCGCGATTGACGTTGAGAGCCATTGTTTACTATTTGCCGTTTAGCTGAAAAGTAAACACTGAACATAGACAACAGAAATATTTAAATAGATAGTTAATATAATCTCAAACCTACGATTTACACTAAAATTGTCGGGAATGTCGCAAAGCGATGGTTTGTCGTCGATCAAATTGCATACGACGTCGTCTGTATCGTCAGCGATGGCGTCGAGAAACAACGACGCTGAGGATTCGCTAGTCTTCAGTTTCTTTCTCTTTCTTGACAACCTCCCTGTAACAAGGAACAGTTAGATATGTTCGCTAACACAAGAAGATCAGAACCGCTTACCCACCCTCTATGGTTTGGTCGCCAACCATAAACCAACCGAACACCGCCAACGCGAAATTCGAATGCACCCTACCGCTCATTCATCTCTACATTGTCATTCAAAGCCCAGAAAACATTCAACGACCTTTCTTCCCGACGCTCTTCCCTTGATCTTTCCGAGACGATTCCAGTTCAACACATTAGTCAATCGAGGAATGACGAATCATCCAAAGAAGTGATACAACCGGTTATCACGTGGATTCCACTCAGGCAACACCGTCAATTCAGAACCTTAAAAAGCTAACACAAAGCTCCCGATGCCTGCTACCACGGTATCTCCTCCCCTTCCCCAACGAGGTACGGAGAAGGAGGAGGGGGGGGTCTTATCTTCAGTTGTTAGGAGGTGGTCACAGGCTAGATAAAAGCACCCTATCATTTTCCACGTTTTGACACTGGTGATGCACTAGATTCGATAGTGAAGTTGATTGGAGGACCTGCCCGCTCCCCCACCACCTCCATACATTCGACGAGGAATCGGGGCAGCCCTTCAAAAAAAATTATCCTTATCATAATCATACGTCTCACTAGTCATGCATACTCCCATAGATACTTTCGAAACATTAACAAAAAGGCAAAAAGGTCATTTGACGACTTAGCCAAGCAAAATATAGTTCTTGGCGAGGGTAAGATTCAAAAAGGTCATTCTGCGCCATGAAAACA